TATATGAGACACTTCTCCTTTCCTGCACCCTCTAGCTCAGCCAGAGGCCCACAGTAGAGGCGCTAAGGGAGGCAAAGATCCTCATTCGCTTCAGTGACTATGTGGAGGTCGCTGAGGCTCAGGACTACGACAGGAGAGCAGACAAGCCATGGACTCGGCTAACAGCTGCTGATAAGGTTAACAAACGTGCAAGAACATATCCAAACAATGCTTCCCTAACTCTGGATTAAAGTAGTTTGTACATATATACTGTATGCTGTGTGTTGATAAGTGTTTCTTTGTGTGTTGTTCAGGCTGCTATCAGGAAGGAGTTGAATGAGTTTAAGAGCACAGAGATGGAGGTGCATGAGTCGAGCCGTCATTTTACCAGGTAAGGCTATATGCTGACGGGGTATATGCAGAAATTCTGACATATTATAGAATGACTTTTCTGATTAACTATACTGTGACTTTTTTTCGACATACTATACGATGACTTTCATGGCATACTGTAGTATGTTTTTATGACTTTTCATGGTATACGATACTTAAACCTTTTTATGACACTTTATATAGCACACTATACTATGAATTTTAATGACACTTTTTATGGCATATTATACTCTGACTTTTAAGACGTACTATTGCTTTTTAATGACATTTTTTACACCTATATGGCATAGAATAATAGGAGTTTTAAAAGGACTATAATATGAATATTTTATGGCCGTTATGGTCTACTATACTATTGCTTTTTTTGCACTATGACTTTTCATGGCATACCATACTATTACTTTTCATGCCATACTGTAGTATGAGTCGTAAAAAGTCCCAGGATAGCATGTCATAGTATAGTATGTTGAAAACAGTCATAGTATGTGTCTCGAAAAAAGACAAATAAGTCAGTGTAGTATGTCTAAAAAAGTTTTTAAAAAGTCATATTTTAGTGTCCAAAACAGTCATAGTATAGCATGCCTAAAAAAGTCATAGTACAGTATGTCCGAAAAAGTCATAGAATAGCATGTCGAAAAAAGTCATAGTATATATAGTATGTTGAAAAAAGTCGTAGTATAGTTTGACAAATAAGTCATAAAAAAGTAATATTATAGTATGTCAAAAACATTCATAAAAAATCATAGTATGGTATGTCGACAACATTCATAAAAAATCTTAGGATAGTATGTCGAATAAATTCATAGTATAGTATATTTAAAAGTCATAGTATAGTATGTCAAACATTCATAAAAGGTCAGTCTAAAAAAGTTTTATAAAAGTCAGTCTAGTAGTTTATTGAAAAGAAATCATAAAAAGTCATACTAGAGTATGACAAAAAAAAGTCATGGTATAGTATGTTGAAAAAGTCATAGTATAGTATGACAAATACGTCCTAATAAGACTCAAATGTCACAATGTATGTCACAAAAAACATCTCATGAAGTCGAGGAATAATGTCATGAAGAAATACAGTTTCAAGTTCTTTATTATTTGAACAACAAATACAGTAAAGCAGTCATTGGCCATGGGAATCTGACATCTGAGGTTCCGCCTAACACTGTTCATTAAATATGTATTTTCAAAAAAGGAAAATCACTTAAATAAAAGCAAAATGAAAATCTTACATAGTGTAACTGAAAATGTAGGGCTAAAATACAAGTAATATATATTTGTCATTGGCAATATTGCATATAAATAAAATGAATATAAACAGGAATTTGGTAAATGTATATCCACAATGAGAAACGCACACACAGCAGTTTTCACCATCCTTCTTAAAGCCTTACGGATGAGATCAGTGCAACTGCCATACCAGGCGGTGATGTAGCTCTTTATAGTTTAAAGAGACAAAAACTACTGAGTTGATAAAAAGGAAGGACAGACATGGAGAATACTTCCATTTTAGTTAGATGGTGAAAAACCACCCTAACAGCATTTCAATAAAGTTCCTCACTTTCTCTCTGTTGCCGTTTCTCCCTGCAGGTTTCATCGGCCGTGAGATGGGTCAGGCAGACAATCGGCCGTGCTTTTATACTCTCACGACGAGCCTGAAGCGGTCCGACCGCTACCTGCTGCCCTCACACTGCTACGCTCCCCAGCCTCGACTTCAAACTGACGGAGTGGACGTGAACACAATCCGTGTGCTGTGGCCGTGACAGGAAACATGAGCTTTTATAAATGGATTCAACTCTGAACTGGCGTCTCTCCCCTCAGTGGAGATTTTACAGACTTCTTAATATTCAAACACTTTTCTTTTCTCTTAAGCTGAAGAGGCGGCCATTTGTTTACTTTGCAGCACTTTGTTTTTGAACACCGCTTTAGTCGCACAGAATCTGTGCCAATTTCGAGGAGGTGAAGATGGGACTTTATTTTACACAGGGATTGTTTTCTTGCCTTTCACAATGTTCTTAGTGTCCTCTCTCAACTGGACTTTCTCTTTCCTTCGGGGGTTTCTTGTGTTGGCACAGTTTTATTCCACAGATGACGTCTCAATGATCGCTTCTTAATTTGCCAGAGGAATCAAAATGGCAGCTGAATCTTAAGCCAAAATGACCTAAAGTCCTAAAATGCTCTCTGCAAGCCAGTAACAGTGAGAATTTAGCTCTCCTTCTACCACATACACAATCAACTGAGCAATAATTTCAGATTTTTTTTTCATTTGCACATCTATATCTGGGCTGCATTCAGGAGCTCCAAACACTTTTCAGACTTCAGATCTCCATTTTAAAGCACAGCAAGTCGCGATCTTGAATGCATCTCAGAGTGACTGCTGTTGAGCGTTCAGTAACCCACCGTGTCACTGTGCCTACAGTATTGTTTACAGGGATTTAGAAGTTGCTAAATTATCTGGAGACACAGCAAAAAGTTACCGAACTCTGCAAAAGTACACGGTAGACTTTTTTTTTTTTTTTGCATTTCATTTTTTTATTGTCCGAGATTAATCTTTGGTGGTACAAAATATGAAATTTGCCACTTTACTTTTTATTGTTTACAGTCCTTATTAGGTTCATAAACCACACTATAGTGTTTTGACCACACTATTGAAAGAACCGGTTGATCTGTTGCGTGTGTTATGACTGATTAAGTGTGTATGTACAAGTGTCGGTATCATTACTGTCTCTTGTACGTTTAAAAATGTTTTGAAAGAAATGTACTCAGAATTATAAGACTTGTACATAGCAAAGAAAGTAAGCAAGACTTTCCAAATGTTTTTTTGTAAAGCAGAAAAACTGCATGTGGGTATTAATTTATTGTGAGTCTTCTATGATGTATGACGTTTCTTAAAGAAAGAAACTTATTAAACAATAAGTTCATGCTTCCTTGTCTTTGTCCAAACTGTTTTTGCATCCACTCTGCATAGCAGCTGTTTTCAGTCTGTTCCACGTATAGTTCATCACATTCTTTGGGGGAAAGCTGAGAGTCAAAGAGAGCATTGGCTCCAAAGTCCTCGGAGTTATTGAAAGTAGCTCATGTTGACTTTTCCGTTCAGTCCTGCAGAGACTCATCCATAATGTCAGAGTCAATCCTGATGCATCCTGGGAGAGCATCTCACCTCTGGGCCCACATTTCCGTTGTGTGGGGAGCTCCATGTTGACTATACAGCGTGCATTGGTGTGCCACAATATTTGTGCCACAGCTCGATAGCTTTAGTCACAATTGCATCTGTGTTTTCCTGCGGTATCTGGAAGGGAAACGTCATTGTGAGCTTTTACAAAAGGAAAAACAATATTTCTGTTTGGTGGACCACAACGTAACGATGTGCTGCTGTTTGCTCACATTGCACAGAAACCTGACCACGCCTTCAGGCCGGGTGATTCCCAGCAACATGATCTTATAGCTCAGCAGAATCTCCAGGGCCACAAACACCAGGATTTTACAGGACCCACTGATGACCTTGTCCCACACCCTAAAAAAAACAAAAGGCATTCGTTCATTTGACCAGTTTGAAGAATTTAAGGTCAAGATGTAAAAAAAAAAAAAAACATGTACTATTATAACAGTGTATTCAGAGATATGAAAACAAAGTGTCTGTTGCCTCTCACTCAATCTGCAGCTTTAAAGCTAAGCAACATATTTAAACATTCAACATTGACCGGGCAGTTTTATTCTGCTGCAAGGAGCTTAAGTCGGTAACCAAGACTAATGTTATAGCTTTGTTTCTTTAAGCTCTTGTGGCCGATAAGTATGGTTATTATGGTAATTTACAATTTGTTTATCATTATATGTACATGTTTAAAAGAGAATGCATACGTGAATCTCCACCTACTGCTGTGGATTCTTTTGAGACTGTTAAACTGTTTATGTAGCAGATTCCCACTGAACAAAATGTACATCCGGTTGATTCTTATCTCTTTGTAGCTGCAAGTCTGAATGCAACACAACACCAGGGTCAGATTACACAATGACAGCCTTTTACATGGGAAGTCAAACAAAAATGATCAAATGTTAGTTTGTAGATGAGCGTGTTTTAGTTTTGTCGTGTGAACACACCCAGAAGCCACGTCACACGGTAGCACGTGCAGGTTGGATGAGATTACATAATGTTGCTTTCCTACCAGCTTGTTCTCAACGGTTGAATAAAGTTAATTTGATTAGCATGTTTGGTTCAGACTCAAGTCTGCAGAGGATAAACTAAGACTGAATGAATGTGTGTTGGCCGTACACTGACTTTTGCAGGCTGGATTCAGGAAGGCAACCGGCGAAGCAGCGCCTGAACCAGAGGCTGTAAGGCAGCTGAGCCAGGGCTCCAGTGTTCTTCAGATGCTTCAGCAGTCGAGGTTCCTCCTGACTCAGATAATGCTCCAGGCTCTTCGGCTACACCAAGATGAAAAAGATGGAAGAGGTGGAGACAAGTCTTTAGTCACACTGACGTACATAAAAAGAAATAATGGGATCCAAATTCCTGAGTTTGTCATTTCAATTCTGGCATTTTATGAACTAAATGTACACCTCTTGATTTGTACATTTCTCATCACAGAGTGCCATGATGCATGTTTAAACCTACACCAGGACTATAAATAAAATAATTACATTTTAAATGGAGAGTAAGTCCTGAAACTTGACTTGCCATACAAAGCCTTCAATTCATTTTGCTTTACGAAAACAAAATACGACCAAATTTATAAAACCTCGTCAACTTGCACTTTACATGCTGTGGCCCTAGAAAACAATATAATAATTGATGGAAGCAGTGGCATGATATATTTAGTTTTTACTCTCCATGATGAATTCAGATTTTTTTGGTTATCAATTTGCTTTAGAGTATGATGAAAAATTAGCACGAGGTCCACAAACTGGGAATTATGAGTTTTGTTTGAACCAGTATCGGAACACGAGTCTATGCACGATCCAGTATTACCTTATCATATTATTTATAAGCTCATTTAGGCAACACAGGAACAACATGTGCCACTTGCTACCCAATCCTTGCATCCTAACCGGTCAGTACACACACGCTCACTCTTTAGCTACTTTCATCATCTGCTCCTGAAAGAACGATTGCTGCGTTCAAAATCAATGATGGAAGAAGCTAATGAGTGAGCCATCTTGCTTCTTTCTGATCTCTGTGGAGAGCTGCACATGTGCAGTAGCGACTGGGCAGGTGCTAGCGGAGAGGGTAATGTTAGCCGGAGCTAGCAAAATGTCAGCAAATATGGAAAATCTGTCAAACTAGGCAATTAAAGAAAGTTCTATGGCTTTCATTCTCTGCTGTTCATGTTTTACAAAGCGTTTAACCTGAGCCAGGCCATACAACAATGATAGCACATCCATACAGGGCGAGAAGTATACAGCTGTTAAGGAATAATAATAATATCATATATATTTTAGTTTCTTAACACACAGGTATCCATCGGTATCAGAACATCTCCATCATCCACTGATGAAGGCCAAAAGATGCAGCTGAAACTTTAGAAGAAATTCCAGTCAGAGGACCTTATGCTGAGAACTTTTAATTAAACTAAGTCAATAACTGTGGAACACTTACAAGGTGGGGTATTGAGTCCCCAAACTTTGTGTGGAACTGATTGACGAAACACTTGATCAGCCAATAGCAGTCGATGGGATCATCTACGATCTCCTCCATGGCTCGACTGATGGAGAGGAAGTCCTCGTTCTCTTCATCCTGAAACAACACATTCATATCAAGCATTACAACATTAAAGAATAAAGGAAGCAAAGAGAAATCCAACTATTTTTAACCTGAAGAAGGCGGAGAACATTCCCAGAACAACTCATTAAAAACCATGCGATGTAGTGTGTCTCATATCTCAATAAATGATTTGATCAACTATTTCTTCTTTAACTGTACTTTGACTTTTGCCATCAAAGTTTAAGAGATTTATATTATTTCAAAAATAAACAATTACATTCAGACATGAATCACACTATTAAAAAAAAGAAAAGACTAGATTTATAATCATTTTCGGAATAGTCAAGGGTCTATTACATTTGAGTAATTGTGAGGCATTTTTTTGGGGGAGGCTGTGGCTCAAGAGGGGAGAAGAGCATGTCGTCCTTAAATCACAAGGTTGGCAGTTTGATCCCAGGCTCCTCCTGTCTGCATACTGACAAGGTAAAGTGTCCTTGATGGTGACACTGGCCATTTTACAGCAGCCCACTGCTCCTAAGTGCTTAGGATGGGTTAAATGCAGAGGTTGAATTTCACTACGTTGTGCTATAAGTATTTTTTTTTAGGCTAATACATAGTTTCAAAGACAAAGGGAGGCAGGCCGTTTAATGAGAGCACTGCTTAGTGGGTTATTGACGTGGATCTGAAACAAAAAGGGTTTCATGTGGTAAAGATTGTAAGTGATGGCCAAACATAAATCTTAACATCACATGCTTCATTTTCCACTCAGGCTCCAGAATTCTTAATTCATAATGAAAAGTTTGGTGCTTGTGGTTTGCCATTTTAATGAGACTTTTGTCATTTGATGGAACCAGAACTTTTAACTTACAGATGTGCATATTTAAAAAAAAAAAAAAAAACAATCAGACTATGATCACATTACTATTACATTTGGGGTTGAGTCAGTATCACAATTCCCACTATTGTCTGATTAGTTCTGCATTAGACCATCAGCTGAGCATCTAAACAGCTGTCATGTCAAATCCTGCGTGGATGGTTGAGCACAATCTTGGACTTTTTTAACCATATACAATCTGAATGTTTTTCTCATGTTTTATCAATTCTCAAACATGACTATCTTACCGGGGCTGAGATCTCAGAGCACCGTGGGAGCACCTGGCTCTCCAGCTGGAACATGCGCAGGTAGACATGGGTGCAGGGAGTGGAAGAGTTGACGTATCTCATCACCTCCAGAGCCTCCAGGATGTCGTGGTACTGCTCTTTCCTGTAGCCTCCCACCATAGTGTGAGAGTCACTGTGGGGAGGTAGCATTCCTGCAGGAACAGGAGAGTTTGCTTGGGAACGTCACTTTATGCCCAGATCACATTTGATTATTTTACATGCACCTTTGGAAATGCAAGCCATGACAGTAATATGTGCGATATGTATGTGTCTTACCCAACAACACCTTCCACACATGCATCCTGTACATAGAGGGGAGGGGGAACCTCTGACTGAAGGTGCTCAGCTTTTCTAGATCTATTAGAACGGTGAAAACATTTGGTACCAGAACAAGAACACTCCAGCAACCAACCACACATACATTTAGAGATGATCTTGAAGCAGTTGCGGGAATAACAATCCGTGGTGAACTACAACCTATTGTAGTTTGTTGTTGATACCTGTTGAATGTACTGTGTGTATGATGCGTCTTATTAACATCACTGATGGTGCATACCCATGTGACAACCCCCAATACTGTTCCTAAACCATTTTCATTCAGTGTGTAAGCTGTGTTTAGATAGAAATGCTGGTAAATAGGAATCGTTACCTACCCAGAGGATTATCCTTGAGCAGTATTTCCAGAGACTTCTTCTCCTCCACTCCTCTGAAGCCCACTTTCTCATAATATGAAGAGCGAAAGTTTCTTTGAGGGTCGTCAGCCATACCTGGTCAAAAACCGTTAGTGTGTGGTTAAACATGACATTAGCTGTGGCATTCAGAGGCAACAAAAAAAATCCTCAAATGTCTAAAACAAGACCACAGCACATTTAATCTGTTTCTTAAATTGTATTTATATTAAGAGTCAGTGGTAGAACATACCTAAGTACAAATTTGATTTACATGAAACTCTTTCCATGACACTTTGTACTTCTACTCCACTACATTTCAGAGGGAAATATTGTGTATTTTACAGCACTGCATGTATACGTCAGCTTTAGTACCTAGTTACTTTACAAAATAAGATATTTTGCATACAAAGCAAAAACATTTCATAGTCCCAGTTAAGTTTTTCTGCTTTTTCTGTCAATTGTTATCTTGAATTCTGGACCATTGATCGGCAAAACCAAGCACTGTGAAGGGCACTCTCTCACCATTTTCAGAAGTTTTAGATATCAAGCAATCTACTTATTAATCAAGAAAACAATAAGCAGATGAATCCATTATACAAATAATCATTAGTTGCAGTCCTTAGTAGCTCCGACTTAACCAACTAAAAATAACACATAAATGCATGAGTAATACAAGTTAACCATTTTTTTTGTTTTTTTAGTGTACCTCTACCTTTAATACTTTAAGTACAATTTCCTTATTATATTTACCCAAGTAACCTTCACTAAAATTCGTTTTTAAATGCAGGATATTCACTTGTAACGGAGTAGTTAACAGTGTGTTAAAACTAACACTACTGATACTTTCTAAGGGGATCTGATAACTTCCTCCAACACTGTTAAGAGAAGATGATGGTTATATTTAACGTTATATCTCACGTTGCATTAACGTTACAGTAACGACTTTGCAGCCAGCTATCATTACTTTGTGTAGAATAGCATGTTAGAAGCATACTCTGAGACAAATCCTTCGTCAAGCAAATGATAAGTGTGAGGCGCAGTGCAGCAATTCGTTTTAGTACATTTTAAAGCTTGTAGTTTAGTTTGAAATGTTTTTTAAATTTAATTAGCACTCCTACCTTGTACAGGTGTGTTTCACGCCAACTGAATTAGATTTGCTGTAAGCTAGTTAGCTAACTTTATAACGTCAGCTACAGAGCCCAACAAGTACGAAGCGTTTGTAACGGTAGCTTTAACAACGCGACCACTCGATTAATTGGCATTTAGGTGGACGTTGTCGTTGCATTGCGGTGAAAAACCACACACATTTCCGTTTCCGTTCATTACCGTTGTTGTTATCGAAACACTTCCGGGTAGCGTTCAAGACCTCTGGGGTATCGCACATGCGCAGTGTGGTGAAGTAGCAGCGTTGAAGGGTTAGCTACATTTATAGGGTTACAGCCGCCCCTCCTATGAGTTATACCTCAGTGATATGACGCGTGACATCGGCCTGATCCCAATCGGACTCACGGATTTTGAGGCATGCTACCGCAAAATCCGTGAGGGTTTAGGGTTTAAGATTTAAGGGGGGACATTGTTATCAACTATTGCTATCCTGTTTCTCTTTATTCTGCTTCTTATATTTCTTCCGTCCCACCTCTTCTTCTTCTTCATTTTGTAAGCTACAGAAACCATTCAACTATCAAAATGTTCAGCTCTTTAATGACATTTCTGCTATGACTTTTCATATTTCTATCTCTTATGGTTTATGAATTATTAAGCTTTTTGCAATTTTAATTTTGAATGGGATTTCAATGGAGTGAATATTCAAATCCTCTTAAACTTCTTCAACTTTCAAATCCTTCAACTTCCTCATAGTTTCAGCTACAGACACCATTTCAACTTTAAAATGTTGAGAAAACCCTGATCTATTGCCACATTATTCAGCTTTTTGATATATTTTAAACTTTTTGAACTGCAGCAATTTAACTTCTAGGATTTTTCAGCCCTTTTCTGACTTTATAATGGGTGTGTATTGCGCAGCTTAGAGTGCGTGATGTCACCGCTAGAGTGAAGAGCAGCTTGAGATTCTTGTGAAAAAAAGATTTGTCTTTTGCCACTGTGTCCACAATCTTCACTCTTCATGCATAATTTCTGGATGTAGAAGTAGCTAATCGTGTCCTTGTTGTAGACAAATGACTGTGGAATCCCACAGATTTACACATTTGGCACAGAAGCCTGTTATTGAGAGGAAAACCAACTTTCTGCTCCATAGAGACCAATGTTAAATTTTGCTTCAAAAACATCTTCTACAGAACATGGTACCCCATTTCTAGATCGCCAGTTCAGCCACATTTTTTACACTACAGACACAATTTTTACAGGATCTGTTCTTCAACTCATCCTTCCTCTTATTTATTAATATCGGAGCAATAGGAGCTACGGTTATGGGAGTTTTGAGGATTTGTTTGAGAGATGTTTCCCTATTTTATCTCCATGAAAAGGCTGCAAGGACACAGGTGTTTCTGATTAAGCTAATTAGTGATGTTGATAAACACACAGACACACATGCACTCCTCTCTCTCTCTCTCTCTCTCTCTCTGTGTCTCTCTCTCTCTCTGTGTCTGTGTCTCTCTCTCTCTGTGTCTCTCTCTCTCTCTCTCTCTCTCTCTCTCTCTCTGTGTCTCTCATACAGTCATTCAGGTCTTAGAGACTTTTAGAGGACCCCCCCCATTTTAAAATAAAAGCCGCACACACATGATTTCGAGATATACGTGATGCAGCTCAGCCAATCAAATATATGGATTCTGATAAGTTTCCTGATTCGAGTGACATTTACACACACCGCGACACAAGAGGGAGAGATGAGGAAAGACATGGCAGCGCAGGACAATAGTCATGTAAGCTGTAAAAGATAAAACATAGGACCATCTCCAAATGAGAAAGATTGCCAGAGAGATCAGAGTCTCTCTCACTCACTCACTCATCCTCTCTCTCTCTCTCTCTCTCTCTCTCTCTCTCTCTCTCTCTTAGTCATTCAGGTCTTAGAGATTTTAAGAGGACTCCCCCCCCCCACACACCCCATTTTAAAGTAAAGGCCCCACAAAATGAATTCTAACTGAAATGCTTGTGATGAAGCCTGTCATTTAATAACCTGTTTATGTTTATCTAACATTATGATTATGTCTCCTCTCCCCTTCCCCCCGCCCACACCCCATTTCAAAATAAAAGCCCCAAAAAGTGAATTCTAACTGAAATGCTTGTGATGAAGCCTGTCATTTAATAATAATAATAATAATAGATTGTCTCCTCTCCCCCTCTCTCCCCCACCCAGTCCCACCCTTTCAAAATAAAAGCCTCATGGATTAACTGTATTTAAACGTTAAGCTCAAAATTTGGCTTTTTTGTTGAAATAATGAATGCTCTTACTAATACTGCGACAACTACTGCTACTAATATTTCTAGTATCACTACTACTACTACTGCTACTACTACTACTTCTACTGCAACTTTTGCTGTTGCTACTATTACTACTTCTACTACTACTACTGATACCATCACTATTATTACTACCACTACTGCTATTACTACCACTACCACTACTATTATTACTTATACCACAACTGCTACTACTGCTATTCCTGCTACTACTACAGCTATTAGTACGACTGCTACTAGTACTGCTACTTCAAAAACTGACTTTACTATTACTACTACTTATTCTACTACTACTAGTTATATTAAATACTACGACCACTACTACAGCTATTACTATGACTACTGATACTACTTCTTCTTCTAATTACTAATACTTCGACAACTTCTACTACTACTGCTGCTACAAATATCACTACTGCTACAACTAGTACTTATTCAAATGCTACTAATACTTCTACTGCTAATAATACTTCTACAACAACTACAACTTCTACTACTACTACAACAAATATCACTACCGCTGAAATTTTTTTAAGCTACAGAAACCGTTCGAATATCAAAATGTTCAGCTATTTCATGAGAGGGGTGATATGACTTCATATTTGTAATCTTTCAACTTTTTGAATTATTAAGCTTTATGCAATTGTTTTTAAATTGGATATCTATTTTCAGCAATGTTTTTGCAATTCATTGCAGCTTTCAGCATTCCAACGCATTTTCAGCAGGAAATGCATTTTCTAGTTTAACCTATGCTTTTAACTCTCCTGTTGTCTTTTATCTTGACGGTTGGCAAACGACGATTTAGTGCTCTACCGCCACCAACTGGTATGGAAGGTGGATCAGAATGCTATTACAATATAAAAATACAATAATATTATTTAGTCATATTTCTCTAATATACTGATATAGGAATGTATAACACACATTTCGTGAGTTCTTTGTAGAATATCTGTTCTTCTGAGATTTTGTATTAAATGCCTACTTTGTTCCACATATTTCTGATGATATATATCATATATTATGTTTCTCCTGCCCGCAGTAATCACATCTACCTCATGTTGAAAAAGCATAAGCATTTGTGACCCAATTTTCAATTGTTTACTTAAATAGACTTCTGTGTTAAGGCATGCCTATAATGCAAGAAGGGTAAAATATTTAACAGAAGAAAGCATTTTATGAATAAAAAAAAAAAATAATAAAAAAAAATATATATATATATATATATATATATATATATATATATATATATATATTTAAATTAGAACTATTAGTTCTGACTTGACCAAACTAAAACATTGTATGTGAAAACCTGCTGTGTAATAAACGTATTTCTGATGTAACTATCACAAGTGTGCATGAAAACTGACCATGAATAAGAACAGTCATCAATCCATATGAGAAAAATACTGAATCTTTTTTATTTTGATTGATTATTGAACTGTTACAAAACAGCTGATTCAGTACATACAAAAATAGTACTTAAGCCAATGTATATAACCAAACCCTGCATCCCATCCCTCACAAAACAGGCATTTCAGATGAAAAATAAATTTAAACATAAGACCATTTTGTTACCAATGCAAAGCATAAAAAGAAATTGCATATAAGAAAGACTTGGAAACAAATATTTGTATTATGTGTATGAAATCTATAAGAAATCTAAGGCAACTTAAGGGAACCAACAATTATATCAATATCCACTTTGAAGAATACCATAAAATGTCTCCCATTAATACCATAGTCCATTTTCACAAAAATGTCCTGGTGATGTTTATTGTCACAATCATTTGAACTATAGAATTATAAAAGCGTAGCATAGCAACACCAAAGCTAAAATCTAAAAAAAAGCCTTAAGAGCATTATCCTCGAAGTACATTATCTTTTAGTTTTTCTCCTCATATTCAACACATCAGTTGTTTTCTCAACAATCACTATACGGTTAACAGATTCTGATTCATTTCAAAGAAAAGAGTATGAATGTGCAGGATCTTTCTTGATTTATCTGATGGAGCTGAATGAGGAGGTGGTGAGGCTAGTGCGACTGTGGTGAGAAGTTGATGAAGAGGTGGGGGAGCCTAGGTCCACACTGCTCCTGCGGGAGCTTCGTCTTGAGCCACTCCTGGAGCCGCTGGTGGATCCTGGGGCAGAGAGATTGTAGGGACTGCTGATCCCTCTGGAAGAGACAGATGATGCCTGGAGCATTTTTAACCCATTGTTTTCCTCCACCAGACAATTATCAAGAGCCTCCTTGTAGGAGATCCTAAGTTTGCTCTTGGGGCAAGTTAGGTTCTTTGTGTGGTGTCTGACGTCTTGGAGCTTCTGGGCTGCTCTCTCATCCAGCCAGCCCATTTTCACAGCATCTTCTATGGTTCTTCTACAGCCCATTTCTGGGTCATAAAGCCCCCCAGTTACAAACTGGAACTCCAGGAACCTGTGCCCAGCCTCATATGGCAGCCACATCTCCTTCATGGCTTGAGCAGCAGACATCTTCTTCCTGGTTTTGACATCCTCAAAGCCAAAGAAGGCTTTCTGGGCAGGCTTAAGCTTAGAGGCCATGTCAGCAGTTATTATGCCAAGGCGGGTGGCCTCTTGGATGCTGTGTCTATGGCCATTTGTGGGATCAATAATTCCCCCTGTGCAGGCCTGAGCCTCCAGCAGTCTCTGAGCAGTGATGGAATCCACCAGACCGCGATTTAGAGCTTCAGTGATGGATATCTTCTCTATAGTGTCCGAGTCAAAGATGGCACCTACAGGTTCCTGGTCACCTACTGTTTCAACAGGAGAGGCCAGAGAGATACATACGCTGGATATACCCCTAAAGGAGTCAGGTGAGTCTTGATCTACACTGCTGGTTGAGGTGCTTCGCTCTGTGACAGTTGTAGT